GAATCAAATTTCCCTCAGAATGAAAAATTAAACCAGTATAAATTGCCTAATTAGTATGGTATATATATATATCAAAATCCCAATTTTCTGTTTTTAGTCTTTTTAGTATTTGGCTTCCTGCAGCTTCCTTCAATGAAATATACAAGGACTCCAATTCCAATTCCTCCAAAGTGACCATGGTATTTCTTTCTCACTCATTCTTCAAACATGTAAGATGTACACGGAAGATAAAAATAAATTAAAAAATCAACCTTTCTTAAAAAAAATACATTATATGAACCATTGCAGTATATTCTTTGGCAGATGCATAGTCTCAAACGCTATTTTAAATCTGTAAAAGAAGTTAAAACAGATTTGCAAATGACTCAGACTGAGCAGAGCTCTTGGGAATGCTTTCTTGGCTGTCTTGCAATCCAGAACTAAAAGGAGATGGGGCAGGAAGCATTAGGGGGCTTTATTGCATGGAGTTGCATGTTTTTAGCACTATCAAACTGGATTTCACAGGTGATCATGCTGTCTCCTCATATCATGGTAACTTGGGTGGCTCAGCTGTGCTGCAAGCAAAGGTCACAGTATTGAAGAAAACAAAGCAGTCCTTGAAATACTGTGAGCCACGGAATGTCTGGGGTGATTTGTCCACATTTTTATTTCTGATCTATAATGAGGGCTAAAGTTTGTTTTGAAGGCTCTGTTTTGGAATGCAGTGCAGGTCTGTGGAGGCTGCTGTGCTGATGACATTACAGGATGCCTGGCAGTCCTCGCTGTCTTGCCACATGCTCCTCCCAGCTGCAATCCCATTTTAGCCATTCCTCCAAGCTCTCTAATGAACTATCAGAGCCTGAGGATACAGATTATAAGCAAAAGCAATTACAAATAGAAATCAGTTTTCCTCTTCCTGAATGGCTGACTACTCATCTCTTGCTAGTGACAGTGATGAGGTGAGACTGAGTTACCATTGTAATGTCAGGCTATTGCTTCTGAATTTCTGAGTGACTCTCACACAGCAGAAGTGTCTCACTGCCTCTCCAACAATCGTGGTTAGACACAGAAGGGTGCTCTGTTCCTTCACTTCGATTTCCTTCTACTCACTACCAATTTTATCTCCCCATCTTTGCATTCTGATTAGAGCTTAACTTCAAATGGACAACAGCATTGCTACCAGATCGCTTTTGCATGGTGGGTTTTGGGTCCTTTTTCAGGTTGAGTAAACTGGACAAAAACTTTAGTGACAGAAAGATATCTAACATTGCACAGAGAAATTCCAAGAGCTGTTTGTCATCTGTTGGCTAGGGGAACAGACAATCCCCAGACAGACACGCTAAAAAAAATTCTCTTTCGGTAGAAGAAAACCAGGATTTATAGGATTTAGACTGAGCCAACATACAACGCAATATTATGCCTTTCAATCCTCACTCATTCTTTATTAGGCTTATCTACCTTTTAATAGTTATGATAGCATCTCACTTCTCCCATGGAATATTGTATAAAGTGTATTTCATTGAGGATCTTAAAGGTTTATTATTTCTGCCACTTAATTCTGTTTAAGACTAGGGGGACAGAAGTCAGCCCACTACGCATACACCAGTAAAAACATATTATCCCATTGGATTTCTATACACTCTTGCAGAAATTTAAGCCAAAGAAAAGGTGATCTGACTCTATGCTATAATCATCATTCAGAATATACTGTTCAAAAGAATCACTGGCCAAGGTTCATCTGTAAGGTGTACTAGAACCTTTTAAACATAAGGTATTTCATATGGTTAGTTCAGAAAACAACAAGCAAGCTCTACTACTATTAGTCCAGAGACTGGATCACAGCCTCTTGAGAAATAAACCCTTCCAGTCTTCTGCTAAAGCCTTTCAGCAAAAGTAAAAATCAAACCTATATTTTACTATTTCACACCTTTTATTGTTCTTTGTAAGTTTACATTCCTCTGACGAAATACAAGACAAATAATGCATTTCCCATCTAACTGATTATTACTTGTGCAGTTTTATTAGAGATCATGGAGCCTTATACTGCCTTGTGGCAGTTAATACAGTCAGCATTTCACACAGAACTGAAGCCTGTCCTTCCCCTTCCCGGTTCACCCTGTCTACATTCTGTTTATTTTGGAATGTTTTTGTAGGTTCTAAGCCTGATTGGGCTCTGTTGATATTAACCCACAAAGCTGAAAGTATTAATGTCAAAGGTTACAGGAAGAATATCTCATAATTCTTACTCAGACAAGATCTTGAGGTTGGGCTCAGTTTCATGACTATAACACCATGCATACCATTACCCTTCTGTCCAGTATTACAACTGTTTTTTTTTTTAGAAAAGACTCACAACTAAGATTAGTTAACCAAAATGTTACATATTTTACACCTTCCACTAACTAGGACCTTGTTCTACACCAAAAAAACCCCAAACTCTCATGAAGTTTTACTCATTTCTGAAAAGAAAGGTCTCATCCAACCTGATGATTATATTATTGTATGATGCTAAGAGTGCATTTGCTGTTAACTCTTACCCAAGTATCATCTTAAATTAAAACAGTTATTAATTACAAAATAAAATGCGTAACTCATGAAAAGCAAAGCAGAAAGAAGAAAACTTTTTTACTTACACCAAGGAAAATAGAACTGAAAATAAACAGGAACCCCCAAATACACAGGGCATTAAAAGCGTACAAAAAGGAAAAGGAAATGGAATCGATAGTCATTGCCCTTAAAGAGATTCTCTGCTTGGGGCTGCCCCAGACCAAAGCAGAGCTGGCAGCCCGAGGCCAGTGCCCAGCCATGACTCAGGGCAGTGAGAAGCTGGCAGGGTTCCACACTTCCCTGTGCACTGGGAGCAGGAGCCTGGCCAGGACCCGGGCAGGGCTGTGCTCCCACAGCAGCCCCTCGCTGACAGGGAGGGACTGGCTGCACTGCTGGGGGTGCACCCACTGGGGTATCTGTGCCCCTTGGATACCATCACCCTGGAGAACAGCAGGGAGACTGAGTCTGGATATGCTTCAAGTTAAATTGCTTTTTGTTTTTGCTGACTGTAAAATGAGGCATCCGGTTTTTCAAAGCATCGCTCTAGGTAGTTCCTAGATTGGGCTTAAAATCTGACTTTTACACACAAACCACACAATGAATCCAACTCCTTGTACTTTAGGGTCTACTTGTGTATTCCAGATCTGATGCCTTACAGACCTCAACATACCCAGTTTTCCTTTCTTAACCAAGGATTTTCTCCTTCCTGTCTACCTGTAAATAGAAACTTACTCCTGCCTATATTCCCTTTGATAAAACTGCTTACAACTGACCCTTTCTAGTATGCAATAATGAGGTGAGAAACGTGGCATATCCTTACAATTCTTGCACACTTGCTAGCAGCATGGAGAGACAGTGAGTCAGTACATACCACTGGACAGTTTCAGGCACAGCAACCTCCACTGGCATAGTACCTATACATTCCTATGCAAATCCTAATAGCACATCACTTAACCACAGTCTGTCAGGCAAAACAACCTCTTAGGTCTTTTACTTTTCCACTGGAAGAACCTTACATCAAAATTAGCACGGTCAGTGGTATAATTATGCATACACACATTAGATAATCAAATAAAACCCCTTGGGTAGTCTGTACTCACAGGCTGTGATGACTGGCCTACTTCTTAGATTGACAAATCCTATAACCTAATGCTTCTACAAGCTTAACTTCTCCCTCTGGGTCCACTAAATTATTGACTGCTGCTCCCTGTACAGCAGCATTTGGTAGGGAAAGTGCAGGGATAGCTGGTTTTAATAGAAAAGAGCAAACACATAAACACTGAGCCAGGACCTCCAAAGACATCTGAAGAGGCACCCAGAGAAGCAAGGCCTGACTCCAGCTGCCCATGATATCCTGTATCTTTCTGATCATAAAGAGGCTCTACCCACCCCAAACAAAAGCACTTAACAAATCACAAATGCAATACTTGAGAAAAAAAACTATGAAATTACACACACATCACTCATTGATCCAGTGAAGAAAAAACTTAAAGTACATTTGTTTTTGTTTCCAGAGAGGCACTACTGTCTTTGTAAACTCAAAGGAGAATCACAAACTAAGACAATATTCAAACCAGAGACTAAGATCATGTTTCAGCTGCCTTTTTAATATACTCTAGATATCAATTGTTTCTTGCCTTTGGAAAAAGTTAAATAACTAAAAGAAGCAGCACCACCAGCATTCCTAACATTATGAAAACCTCATGCTTCAAACAACAGACGTATTGTTACTGATTGCCATGATGTTATAGTTGCATGACTTGGCAGGAAATACATGCAGTTTCCAGGACACAAACTGAGGTGCTGTGAGAGAAATACTATGGATTGAATTATTTCTCCTCAGCTGAAAAGAAATAAAGTCAAGAAATTACCTGTGTAATAATTAAAAGTCAAAAAAGTTACAACAAAATCCCGAAGTTGCTCTGTAGTTACAAATCTGGAAGTCAAGGATGAGATTTGAGACAGACATACAGATGTCTTTTCTAGCACAGGGAATTGGGAAGATTCCAAATTTTTATTTAGCAAATTTCACAATTATTGCAATGGTCCAAGAACTTGTTGGAAACGTCATCCTCTTGTGCTGTCTTAGTTTTGCCATTTTCTTTATTGGTATAGGCTTTGTTTTATGGCTTTGAAAAGTAGTTTTGCAGTCCAAGGGCCTATATTGTTATCTCCTTAATACCCTCTGACTTGACTACTTCTGCACTGTTACCTGCAGCTGCAATGCTGACCTGATCCAAGGGTTCTCTTTCAATCCAATGGGTTAAATTTCTTCTTTAAAGGAAAGAGCAGGAATATTAGTTTGCATTAGCATTAATGCACACAAGATGTTACAGTGAACAATATTACAGTATATTTAGTGATACTGCAGGATACCACAAGTACGAGTTCTTTTCCAATTGTAAATGTCCCCACAGAATTGCAACACAGAAAAAAAATTACTGGTTTTTTTTTTTTTTATAACATTTTGACAGGTTGTCTTCCAGGATTTCAGTCTGTAGCCCATGGGCTTTTCTTTGATACCGAGAAATTTGTCATCTTTAACATCTGGTTAAAGGAACAACAGAAAGGAACAACAGACAGTCTTATCCAGAAAGCCAGGTATATATTCCTGTGTCTGTTAATGCATTTAACTCAGTTCTCTCTTATAGAAGGGTAAGTCCCAGAAAAAGAAACATTAAGATTCATTGCATCTAAACACATCTCAGACTCTTATGTGCTTTCTCTATTCTTTAAAACTCAGCGCAGTCTCATCTAGCTGGTTCCCTCCACAGGGATATCCCTCCCTCAGCTCCCATCCACAGCAGAGATTTGCATTCCTGCGCAATGCATATGTTTATTTTTGGACATATGCACTCATTCTAATGAGTAATAAAACCCCTGGGTGCCTAGACTGATCTGATAAGCACACTGAATGCACAACTGCAGGGAAACTCTAAGCATGTTTGCTTATTTCCCACAACAGGTTCTGTCCATTGACACATGGCTTGAAATTAAAGAGTAAGCAAAAAACTTAATAAGGGGGAAGGAAAGGAAGGGAGATGAAAACAACTTTCTTTAAGCATCCTTTTTGTCACTCTCCAGACTGTTCTTGTTTAATCTTGCCTTGAGGTATTCCTTGTAGATGTTACATGGAAGAACATCATACAGGGCTATAAACACTTGCTCACACACACAAAGTTCTGATGGAAGAGCAGGATTATTTCCTGGACTGCTTTACTCAGTGATAGGATCATTCAGTACCTCTTGCACCTCCCAACAAGGCTTTTCCTCAGTATTCTGCTTAATTTAGTCTTAAATGTGTGAAATTCACTTGTCTACATCGTTGTAAAAGATCAGGCAAAGGTATTGGAAAGTCTTTGGAAAAAAAGAAATAGAAATAACTACACCCCTTCTGCACGTCCTTGCCTGGGGTTCACAGGGGGGATAAACTGGGCTAAGATCCATGAAGTGGCAGTCAGAGGAATTGTATTCTGCCTAGTCCTTGTCAGAGAATGATTACTGGTTGGTATTTCTCCCTCAGATTCAAACCTGGGTTTTATTAGCTACCAAATCAGCCTCTGCAGCTTGGTGCTAAAGTCACCCTGACTTACCTTCCTGAACATTTTCTGGATTTCAAATTCTCCACGACTGGATAACAAATAGAGTTATTTTGGGAAAAAGACAAGATGTTTTACACTTGGCACTATTGCATGAAGCTATCGTTAATGCTAGACAAATCCAAAAAGGCAATCGAGTTTAGTCTAGCAAGGCAGAGGGTTACATTCTTGATTAAAAAGTAGGAAATTAAAAGTTATCAAAACCAAAACTATTAAGACACAGAACATATTTGAAACAGTTCAATTCTCTCAGCTGTCTCAAGACTTTTCTGAGTCATGTCCCTGGAGCAGATAGGGGAAAAGATGGGAATTGGTACAACTACATTACAAATTCTGAGTTTCAGAAATAACTTGCCATTATTGTGAAAACAGGAGCTCAAGTTTGAAGTGGCTGAGATGGCTCAGAGCTGAAGATACCACTCTCTTCACTTCATACAACATCCATATCCTCCCCTCATTTTTGGTCCCATCTTGAATTATGACATTTTCTCTGCCTGCATGATTTTCTGACTCTATGAAGTGTTTTTGTACATTCTTTTAGCTTAAGCAATCCTCAAGAGGGGTAACATTCTTCCAGGCTTGTACAGCACTTGAAGTTGCATCTCTATACCTGCTCTTTAAACTGAACACACTTTAATATGTCATTTGATCTTCAGAGGGTCACTTTACGTTAATCTGGAGGGAAAGGAGAACCATCTCCATCTCTGGAATTTTCAGGACTCTGCTGTGGCTGATCCTATCTAATGACAGCAATAGTCCTACTTCACATTAGAAGTTGGGCCAGAAGTACTTTTAATCCATATCTCTAACCCCATAAATATGAGTGTGCTTCATTCAGTGAAAGATTTTTATTTTTCTCTTGATCAAAAAGTCCCCCCCCATCCAGCAAGTCAAAGATCACTGCTGTCAAGTGCCTTATGCCATTGGTTTCACTCCCACTTTGCAGTTCTACATCCACTACTGGCACTGCCACAAACCAAATGTTTTGGGTGCTGTCACACTGGAACATTCACAGCTCTGCATTTTTAATGCTATCATGGCTTGGTTCAGAAACTACTCCACTTGAACCTTGTCTTCCTTCCATGAAATATTTACAGCTGTTTTGTACATCTGTTTTTTCCCCCCATTCATCTAAAAGCCATTACTAATGTTTTCATAATAAAGGATTGTTTTACTGAACAAAGATAACAGTAGCTAAGTCAAGAACAACATGAACAAATTAAAATTAAAAAAGGAACTAAAGCCATTTAGAATTCAACAATACAGTATACACAGACACAATATTTATTATTCCCCGCTAACATTAAATAATATTAAAGTGTATTATTCTGTTTTATTCTTCAAGGTCCACTTTATATTAAATAAAAGATTGAATTTTATATTAATTAAAAATTGAATATTAAATGAACTGAGCTTAAGACTGCATAATTCCAGTCACCTAAAGTAGCACTATCAACTTTTCTTAGAATATAGAGATAAGTCGGCTTTTTAAAATTAGCATCTACAATAAAGCTTCTATTTGAAAGTGATATAAATAAATTTTGATTTTCATTGAAAGCTATACAACCTTTTTCCTTATTTACAGGTTAGGTGTGTACCTGGAAAAGTCACTTCCCCCTTTGTGTGAGCATTTCCCACGATGGCTGGCAGTTCCCTAGTTCCAGCAGAATGCAGCCACCACTGGAGCTTTGAAGCCCTTAGACCAGCCCTGTGGCAGATTATCAAGCAAGCCTTTGGCCTGGGATGGATTTGTATTCAAGGGGAGCCAACAGAGAGAATACTAACCAGAATCCAAGAGTTCCTTGGAATCATGAGTTCATGGAAGGCAAACTTCACCTAAGTTTTCATAGGGCTTCCATTTGATGATGAAAACTTGTTTTTGTATCCATACAGATGTAGAGTGCAGAAAAACCATGAATCTTTGTTATGAGTCATATCACTTGGCAGAAGAATAAATCTAAATCTATTTATTAGTTTATTAATGAAGAATATAAATCTGAAGTTTTAAAATATTTATCTTTTCTATTTCCTTACCTAAATATCTGCATGAACAGATTCAATACAGCAGTTTTATACTGAATGAACCTGTCAAGAGGCAGAAGGACTAATTAATAATTTGATTGACTGATCTTTTGACCACTAAAAAAAATCTTTAGTCACATACTAAAAATCTAACCAGATTCTTGTGGATACAAAAGAGTTACCTCCTTGGATAGTCGAAATGCACTGGATGCACAGTAGTGGGTGGATTTTAAAGTTGTATTTGAGAAGCAGTTTAACTCCTGGATGTAATATGAGAATTGTCTGCTCCAAGTCCGTGCTGGCAGACAGGCAGCAGCAAGACTTATCATTTCCTCAGCGGAGGTGGAACAGGACTAATGGAAGAAACGGATGAAGAGTCCATGGGGGGAAAGCGTGTAAAGAAAGGGGTGGATCACTGTTCTGATAAGGAAAAGAAAATTCTTGCTTGCTCAATGAAAATGATTACACTTAATGTATGCCATTATTGTAATTCTCCCACATGCCCTGAAGACCTGAGTGAGTCCATGCACATTGTTCTCTGATGATTTTGATGGCAACTAATTAATCTTCATGAGAGGGAGTGCTGACTTTAGGGGTTTTATCTCACTGCACTGCAATTTATTTTCATTGGCAACTGGTTGACTTTTCCTTTACAACATGCAGCTTATGAATGTCTTAGTTATTTTGCCAGTGCAATCACAAAGATCAATACATCTATGTCTAAAGCAGTACATTTTTTAAAATTGCAGTTCAGAGTTCCATTTAAGTACCAAGCCCACAGTGGTTTATTTAAAGGTTTATTATGTTCTCAATTACAAATTCAGTTGCTTTTGGAGCTTTTTCTCTGGCCTCCACTCTCAGTTCCTACTTGGATACCCTTGCACATCCTCTACTCACTATTCCCTGAAGGTTTTGGTATCCAAAGCACTGCTGCCTTCTTTTTTGTTGCTCAACAGCAGCAACAGAGAGTCGGTGGCAAAGGAATATGGCAGAGAAATGAGTCACCACTAAGTAGTTCATCAAACCACATATCACATGAAAGAAGTTACTATATATTAAATATGTTGACTTGATTCCACTAATCAAATAATAAAATTCTACTTGAATGATAAAATTTGCAAGATAAGAAATACAGAAATAAAAAAGTAATTTACTATGTTGATGAAAGCAAACCCACACACTCCTTTAGCTCCTATATTTAAGTGTTGTGTTTAAACTAATTTTTTTAGTTGAGTGTTTAAAAATAACATATGGAAGCAGTTTGGGAAATTTAGAAAACTTTTTTTTATAGGAGAAGAAAGCATGGTGGGTGTGACAGAAGTAATATATTCTAAGTTGCTGTCACAGGACCTGGACTGTGCATTTGCACAGACAATATAATATCTGGGTAATTTTTGGGAGCAACTGCATTTGTTTTAACTTACATTTAGTTTCATCACAGCCTCATTCTACTGAAGAATATAAAATTATTTTTATTTAAGTTTCCTGTTTAAGAAAAAAAATTTAAATGTTTTGGTAGCAACTGTGGCACTTCTGGAGACATTTCCCAGGGGGAGTGTTATAAACTTCCATATTTCTGTGTATGCAAGAAAGTGAGGGCTGTCCACACAGGAGATGATGCTAAAAGACAAACTTTCACCAGGTTGGAAAGCAGGAAAGACTTGTCTGAAACCTCTGTATTGGGGATGCCTGGTTAGACAACTGCTGGGTCAGAGCACATCCACAGTGTTTCCATGTTTCCATGAAACCATGCGCTGCCCAAAAAAACACCCAAACCCAACAAACAGCCAAACAAGAACAAAAAACCAGTCCCCTCAGCCAAATTCCAGTCTGATTTTCAAGGCTGCTATACAATGGAGACTAGTTACCGGTAGTTTATCTTTTATTTCCCTCCATTTCTTAGACTGTAGTGAACACTGATTGTTGGTTTCATGTGAACTTACTGAAACCTCTTAATGTTCTCAACTGGTCCAGTCTGAGCACTCTGAATAACCAGCCCAGGTTACAGCATTGCCATAAAACAGAAATATGGATGGAGATCCAGCATTAGCAGTGCTGTTGGAACCTGAATGCATTCAGGTTCTACAACAGGCTACCAATATTTTTTTTTATAGCTCTTTCCCACTGATCCCCACTTGAAAAATGATGATGAAATTTTAGAATTATTCAGGCCCTGGTTTGAAACACAACATCAAGAGTTTCTCAATACATCCCATACATCAGCATAATGAACTTAAACTATTCACTGACTGGTCAACTTAGAACAATAAACAGAATCAGGAATCCAAGTTCAAAACCTCAGTTACTTCGCTCTTACTTCCTTAAGTACACATGAAGACAGATTTTATTACAGCATTTCATAGGTGTTCTTAAAAGCCATGAGCTACTTGCATTTTAAACTGCAGAGCTTGAAGAAACTTGTGTTACAGGAACTTTACTAACAAAAAAATTCAGAAATGAAGAATTCTGAAAATTCCCAAACTTACCTAGGCACATTGTCCAAACGTATTGCAAGGTAAAAGAATTAAAAACCTCTTAAGTTACTTTTTACTTTAGTCCATTCTGGATTTACCTAACATCCAGAAGATCTTCCTGCTGCTCTCCACGAGACAGTCAAAAAAGGCAAATGAGAGCATTCAGTACCTTGGGAACACATGCTGCTAGATTAGTAACCTTTACTTGATGAATTTTCATCATTAACAAGCATACACATCTTATTTATGATTCATGGAAATCTCATTTATAACACACATTTCTACACAGGCTTGCTTGCTTTTGCAAACTTAGACAGCTTCACCTGTTGTAAGATTTCTGACATGTTCTAAAGAGAACTCCCCCACCCAACACATCTTGCCAGTGTTTTTAACAATGGAAGATAAAACCCTAGAAGATATGAAAATCGCTGACTTCATCAGTGCTCGAGGATACTTCTATCCCTGTATGTGCTCGTTCCCTGTAAATGCTAATGACATTGATTTCATGAGTCACTGGCACTGTGGCAGAAAGTTATCAAAGTTGAAATTAACTTCCCATAGAAATACTCTCTATCAGTTAGAGGAGAGGCAAGCAAGCAAGCAAGGTTAAAACATGAGGAGAACTGCCATGGCTTCCCACCAACCATAGAAGGTCTCATAAAATTCAGCTACATTTACCCACCTCTAGTAGCATAAACACACTGTCAAGGCATGTGAAACAAACCAAATTCTTGTGTGGGATTATGTGATTATGTGACTTCTCCCACTATTTGACATTTTTCTTCTTTTGCTCTACTTATGTTTGTTTGGACAAAGTTGCACTTTTTGAGAAAAACTTCAACTGACAGAAGGCTGCACTTATGACTAAAATATCAGAATAAACAGTGGGAGTTACTTCCCACCCCACTGTACTATTCAGTGCCTGGACTCTGTATATCATTACCTGACACACTGGAAAATATCCTCCTTCACAGAGGGACTGATTTCTAACCATTAAGACTCTCTGTTGAACTCTGCTTTATTCACAGATGTTTCTCAGTGGTATCATGTGACAATCGCATTTCTGTTATTTAGATTTCTCCCCGTCTTTTTTCCCCTCTCAGCAATACTGGCTTGGCTTCCCCTGCTCTGGAGTGCTGGCTGGAGAGGGAACTGGGGTAGGCTGTTTTAACAAGCAGCACATTCTGTTTTAAACCCTTTTGCACGGAATACAAATCCTTGAATGTTTTCCAGAAATGTGAAGTGTGTTGACTTCTATACTCAGAATAATAAACACAACTGTGCTCGTCTAACTAAAAAGAAGTGGAAGTGCAGTTCTGTGACCCATTCAGAACAGAGCAGTCAAAATGCATTCACCCTGTCCACACTCTCAGTATCGCAGCTGGGTTTCTCTGGGTGGGAGTGGTGGGGGTTTGGCAGGGGTGTTGTTGTTCGATTCATACATATTTTTATTAAGTAGTTTCTTGGAGTAACAGCCAAGACTTCAAATAGTTTCCATAACATAGCTGACTAATAATCAAGGTGCTCCTCAGTTTCTGCCATTGAATTGGGCAATTCCTTGAGCAGGGCATTACCCTGCTATCAACAAACTGAGTATCCCACTTTGCATCAGCAGCAGACAGCCTGGGAAAACATTGCTTGACTAGCATTGCAATTATTTAACTAACAAAAAAAAAAAAAAAAGCACCTTCAAACTCTAAGGACTCTAGGGATATTAAGTTTAGCTAAAAATCTAAATGTTAAATTCCACCCAACTGGAATGCATAGCAGCATCTTAAATTAAGATACTGTGACTAAGGATATGGTAATGCCATATGGAAAAAAAATTACATAAATCAAAGCACAGCTGTGCCCAAGTTAGGCAGTGTAAAGTCAACTGTGATATCATAGGAAGCAAGCAATGCCAACTCAGAGGGTGGAATTACCCACTTCACCTTATTCTGCTCTTTTATGTTGATGTTGAGGCAATACTGATGCTTGAGCCAAGACACAGCTAATAAAGTTAAGTTCTAACATCAATGCCATAGCTGGGCTCACTTGAAAAAATTAAACTGTCAAATTGTTCAGGTCACAGCCCAGCTGGGGCAACAGGAGATCAGCCAAGGACGTGGATTGTGGCAGCTCCCTCTGAAGTCAGCAAGCAGTCTTTTTATAACCATTTTTTATCAAAGCATCAGCCAGAGGGGGAAAACCAAATGTGGTCAGAGGAAAGAGGTGCATTCTAGGTACTGGCACTGCCTCCTTTTGTTTACACCCGTCCTTTTATTTTCTGCTGTGATAGGCAAGGAATATTTATCTTTTGTTGAACATGTTAGTCTAGTTTTTCAATTGTATTTCTGCTGTTCACAAGTAGGAGAACAAAAATCTGGTTTTCAGCTTAAAACATTTCCCAGCCTTTTTTGATATGAAACCCCAAGTTTTTTATAAAATACAAGGGTTTTGTTTCTATGCTAATTTATTAACAACTAGAGAAGCTTTGGGTTTTTATACTACAACAGAATAAGGTATGTCAGGGACTGAACAACAGTGACCTTCTCTATCACCATCAAAATGCAGTAGAGCTTTAAGACAAAGAAAACTGCTGCTTGTAGAATGAATTTTTAATTGCAAGCAATTTTCTTCCAGAAAATCCCCCTTCCCAGTTCCATATAGGAAACCACAAGAATTTTAAGCAGGGCATTAATCTGAGGCTATACATTGCAGTTGTTTTCCTGCTCAGTGTGATCTACTGGCTTTCTCACTGCTTCCCTTAATATTTGAACTGGAACAAAGAGAAGTTTGTCAAAACTTTTAATTCCTTAATTGGAATATCTGAGTTAATGAACGAGATTTTCAAAAGGCAAAAACCTGGTTCAAACAAGAGCAGAACAGAGTTATATGTTTTTGGGAAAGGGAAATGCATAACATTAATGCACAGCTGTAAGTTCATAAAATTATAAAATCAATACATGAGTATGAGTATGAGCCTCATAGGACCATTCACTTTGATTTTTGGGCATTAACAACTCTGCTGAGTGTTGGTTTTCAGAGGACCATGTGGGGAAGTTTCTTACAAATGACTAGATTCTGACTGATACTTGTGAAATACTAAAGTACAGTTGCTAACAGACAGAGGCAATTCATTTTCCTACAGCTTTACTTCATTTGTAGTCAGAATTAAACTGTTCCCTTCCTTGGGAAGGATGGCCTCTCTTTTCAGATACTGCTGCTCAAACTGCTTGTGGCAAAGTTCCAGCTCGTCACAGGGTTCCAGCTCCTCACAGGTTCCCTGTTCAATGCCTGCTACTCCCAGATTCAGCTCCACTCAGTTTAGCTCTACCACCTTCATGTCTGCACGTGATCTGAACTTTCCCTTTAAAATCCTTAAAAATAGTCAAGCCCTACAACTGCTGACAAGATTACATCAGTATTTTGCTTTCATTTAAAACAGCAGAACAAATGGGAAAAGGCCACAAGCCCAACACACAATCAGGAATTAAATGGACAATGAACTTTTCATCTGAAAGGAAGAAAATGAGGAACCTCTTTTCCAGCTTTCAAGAATACCTGACAGCCTGGTAACCTTTCAAATAATTTGCTAGGTTCCCATGAAGGCTTTTTAATATTGCAAAATAAAGCACACATTGTAGCTATTGCCCACCAGGTGAAATCCTCACTGCAGCCCTCAGCACAACGCCACCTCAGAGTAGTTTGTATGTTCTGCTGCTGATGATGCAAGGCCAGTGAGACACAGGATGCACCAGACATTGTCCTGGACTCCCTTGGAAGGCTGCCTAACTTGCCCTCGCAGTTTAGTTTTGTTTTGATTCTCCCTGGGCGATCACACATACCTGTGATTGTGTTTGTCAGTGTGGCATTCACAGATTTGCCCTGGATTGAAACCAGCCATGTGAGTACGTTTGCTATTTGATGTGGTTGCCCCTTGAGAATTAAAGCTCTGAGATGGGGTTTCAAGCAATCCCCTTCCAAAGCTCACTGGTTTTGCTGACTGTGGCAGAAGACTGCCCTGGAGGGGTCTGCAGAAGGACCTAATGCAGACTGCAACACCAAAATAAACCAGGTTGGCTAATGCAGAGTTGGGAAGATGTTGCCATTAATATCTCCACCTCTGCTGCACTTTCAAAATTTTTATTGCATAATCCAGGGGAGAAAAACAGAAAAGGTGTCTGTGATGCAACACTAACATTTTAACAAGTAGTCCCCTGAAATGTTCCTCTACCACTTGGTGATAGACCACAGATCACAGAAGCACATTAACAGTGAAGAATGGGAGGAACTAGATCAGTCCACCTGCTTCTCTGTACAAGCCATGACTCCCCACTAGGTTTGTAAGTAGAATCAGAGTAAGATAACTCACAATTATGAGCAGCAAAGGTGTTGCTTCTTCCAAAATGCTTCAGATTCCACGCAACAAGCTTGGTTTTTAAAACCATCAGTTGTGGATCAGTGCCAGGAAGCACTCTGAAACATTCTTGCCATTGACAACATTTGCACAAAATCACCAGCTACACAGCCATGGATACCTTAACATAAATTATGTACTTTAAAAAAGAACTTAATCTACCATAAACTTAGAGATACCTGAATGCCCTTCACTCCAGGGTTTCCAAAATTATACAGTGAGAGACTGAATTACAGCTAATAATATAAACCCCTTAAAATGATGTGAGTGAAATAACAAGCTCATTCAGTCAGAAACACTGTCCATGCCCTTCACTGATAACAGACAAAACATTAATCCTCTTTGAGAGTTATGCAGCTCAAAGTTCTGGAGACAGAATGTTCTTAATATAATTTGGAGTTTTGTTTCTCCAGCACTTTGGTCCAACTAACAAAAATAATAGCAAACCTTTGTTGGTAGAGAAGTACTGTGAAGAGATTTGCCTCATATCCACCAAAAATCAAAACAGTCTAGTGGGTGCCCACGTTTTGAAGTCATGATCTGATTTTCTTGAGAAACATGAAATATGCCCATCCTGCTGGTTTTCTCTCCTTCCCATGTTTGGAGTCAGTAGTCAGAGAGGGCCACATGTCCATACCTGAACTCAAGGCAGGGCTTTTCACATTCCCTCAGAACTAGTGGCTTCAGAAGTGTCTCTATATTAAGCTAGACAGCACTAGATAAACAATTATTAACTGGAAAAGAGCTTCAGCAGCTGATCTGGAAGGCAAAGCAGCATAAATACTGTATCAGTATAAATCCAGCCGTTGTGCCTTTTGCTTTCTGTCCTGCCATTTCTAACTTTGGCTGACAGTGTTTCCTTTGGGAATCTAGAAAAAACATGCAATTCCCAGCAGCTCCAGCTGCACTGATGAACTTCCTCTAGGTTAGAGTTACACAGGAGTAAATGTCTGTTTTCCTAAACCCAGTGAAAATCCAGAAAAACTTGTTTAGATTTCATTAGTCTATCTTTAGAGGGATTATAGTGAAAAATAAAAATCCCTTCCACGTCTTTATTTGTCATAAGAAAGGTTCAGACTTGTGAGGACTATTCTTTGCCAGTCAGGAGCCAAAACTCAACAGCATGAACAGCCATTAGACTGAGAGTTATAAATGACAACAATTTGCTAAGACCTACAGCAAGTTTAACCCCATGTCTTTTCAGAATTTTCACACAGGATAAACCATCTACTGCTTGAATCTGTAATCTGATCCTAATTTCTACTCCTCCACTTCCCAAATCAAGTCTGACATGTAGATTGACAGACATATTTTACCAGTTTTTGTCATAATAACTGCTACTTTATTCCATGAATAATTTTACAATATTATCAATGCACAATGAAAAATCCACAATGTCAAGCTGGTACTTCCTGAGAAAGAGTAGTATCCAGTTGCTGCTCTATCCTACCTGTCCATCTCCTTTGAAAAGCTAAACATGACATAAATAATTTGTTGTGCATGGATAACTTCAAATTATTATTGTCATTAACTCAGAAAAGAGGAGTGAAACAGTCATCAGGTAAGTGTTTGTTTCATGTAAGAAGATATTCTGGCCTGCATTTCAAGAGACTCACCTTTAAAACATTTTCTACAAGGCAGAGGTAATGTTTATTTTCATGAACATTATAGACTCAAGATACAGGAACATGGAAAACCAAGGAGCAATAGTCTACACTAGGTGGCACTGCTACACATGGCTTAACTTTCTTTGCTGTGGGTTCAAATTAAGCCTAATTTTGGAACAAATATCTGCAGTAAATTTGAGGGAGATATTTTGAGGGAGCTTTGGCAAAGAGCAAGGAAGCATTCTTTGTCCTCCTGCAATCACAGACAA